ATGGACGACGAGATAGACTTAGATGATGAGTGTGACTGGGTAGACGAAGCATCAGATGCCTTCTTTGTGAGCTTAGTTTTCATGGGGAGACGACTCAGTGGACTTACTGGTCTCGAGTTTTTGCCTTGGCTTTATGGTAGTGACTCGAGCTTCTCCTGCAACGAAGTGTCAGCTCAATAAATTGCTTAGAATGATTCACGGGGGTACAAAAGACATGACAGAAATCAAGTATAGCATTCACTTGTGATCCTCAAGCTCTCAGAGGAAGGAAAAACAGAGAATCAAACACGGTGTTCAATGGCTGTCGCGCGCCTGGTTCCCGATTTGGTATATTATACCCGCCCAAACACCGTCAACCCGCGGTGAATGGCCACGGTATGCTCAAGGGTACGACTATCCTACTCCGTACCCGTACCCTCCAAACCCGTCAGCATAGAACCGCGGTGTTACCCGTACCCGTGCGTTTCCCTATGAGTGGTGGACATGTTCAGGACAGCCCAGAACGTGATTTTAAGGCGGGGGTCTCTCAAAATAGTCTTCCAGGTACAATCGATGCATGTTCTAATTCGATCGAGACCTGATATTTGATTCGCAGTGGCCAGGTTATGATTTTTCGGATGTTCTTCATGCCAGACACATCACAATCAATCCGAATACCAAACAGGAACTCGTAACTGCACTGTGCACTGCATTGCATAAATTTTTACTTGTCTGCATCAGTGGGTAATACCTTCAAAATTTGATTTTTCGTCAGAACTAACCGAGTCCACAGAAAATAACACCTTCAGTCGAATCTGGCTCTTGGGCCCTCTCTTCACGAGTCCGCTTAGGAGATATCATGCTCACGTCCATACATTTCGACGCTGGTGTGTGGTTTCCGCAGTTTTATGTACTTCCGGAAGTAGTAGTATTGTTGGATTCGTTGAGTCGAATTCGCGCTTATAACACATAATAATACATGTATAATATAGCAGGACACATGTCATACACCTGTAGGTAGTGAATATGAGAAAACGCAACAAAGGACTTTCCGGCCGCGTGTGCAGGTCCCTCCACTCTTGAACTTATACTCGTGACAAGTCGTCTGAGGCAAACCGTCGATAAAACGCAGATCTCGGGCTGGCTGGCCACGATTCTATCTCGAACTTGTCGCTCCACTCCTATATGCGTAAAGGTGGCATCTTTACAGGCAGTGATCGGTGAGCAAAAAATCGAGGGCTACGGTACGGCACCAAGCGAGAAGGATAGCATCCACCTGCGCCTTCAAAGTTTCACTAGCTTCACTCCCGAGCCTCGGTACCGCACAGGACAGCAAACAGTACTACTTGTGCTTTGTCGCTCATATTGAACCACATTATATGCCTTTTTTTGGTAATTTCAAATTTAATCAGAACACAGGTTCACGCCACAATGTGCAGGACTACTAGTGCCCAGTGTGGCTGCTACATCGACCCTAGGCCTGTCACCCATAGTTGTAATTTCTGTATGCTCGTTGCAACAAATGCTCCTTGTGTAACCAACAATCGTCACCAAGGATGACTAGACTAACACACGGTATTTTCTCTACCAATGTTTTGGTATGCCTCACCCGGGCCCCGTGGCAGTTGTCGGAGACAGACATTGGTAATCATTCCAAGCTCTCTCTTGAATGTCTCGTTTTAATCACCCACTCTGTTCTTCTAGTTTCATGTTTATTGTTGTCACAACGTACGTAGTACCTTTACGGTCTGCTACCATTTGCGTCAAGGACCAGTTGTTTCCAATTACTGGACCACCTGCAGTTGGTGAGCGTTGGCTTCCGTTAGACTCCATAAGGATGCATATACACAATTACTCTAAGGATTATGTTTTGCTGACAGACGCTGGATATTGACAGGTCTTACGTTGCGTTACACGTGCGTCAAAGACAGTTTGTCTCAAAGTCTCTTAGTGACACTCTTGGTGACGCCGCCGTTTAATGGAGAAAGTTACGTTCATTGTGTCACGGTCTATGTTGTTGAATGGTTGGTGTCCCGCTTCATAATTTACAATTTATTGAACAACTTTGAGTGGTCGCTTTGGCCCTAGACGACTGGCGCTTCATGACACGCACCGCTTTGTGGTCCATGTCGAAGCTATGGGTAGTATAAAACACGCGAGTGTTTAGGATGGGCACCCCATCAACTCGAACATCTCAAATATTCTGTAGCACAGATTTTATATTTCAGCTTCAATCAGTCCAGTATGGCATACATGCAACCCAACCAATCGATTGTGAACTCTGGTGGAGCCGGGTCTCCTGGGGTGAGCCTTCATGTTCTTCCCGTGTTTTTTCTTACGCAGAAATTACATCAGTACTACGCTTGGCAAGCCAATCCTGCCCCTCACCCCTTGACGATAGGTACCGAGATGCCACTATATTGGGGCGCCAGCAATGGAAGACAAGTGAAGCGTGTTCCACGCTTGCGGGAATTTACTCCTTCTCAGCAGAGCTTCCCCGGCATCCTTTTTAGCGTTAATGGTTGGGGCGGTGTTGTCCGTGACGGATATTCTGAACCGACAGACAGTTGTTGATTATCCGACTGACATGGTATTCGCTCATCACGGCTGGCGAACAACTACTCTGGCACTAAATGTAAGCATCACCTGTCTCTGATATAATGGTGTATGTAAATCGATTTATGTAGTGGCCCGGATACATACCCAACCGTTCTTCGGATGCGTCTCGTCGTCGCTTTAGCACATATATGAATGGTAACATACCGATGACTCGTCAGGGGTTCGCCAAAGTGATTGCCGAGCTGATTCAAGATCTTTACCACTGTGCAAAGGTTTGTGTGATCTTAAATTGACACAAGGTTACTAACTCGTCGGTCATTAGGACAAGCCCGTTGCACGTGGTTGGGAAGATTGGGGATTCAGCGAAAACAAAGTTGATCCGTCGAAGGTGTTTATCCTATCGGCCCATTATTACAGGAATGTTTGGGTCCCTGAGCTCTACGTCGATATACCATGATGCTCTCTGGTGGACTCCTTTCCCTACGACACAATAGCACAGACATATATCTTTAATTTTCAAGTCACTAACATTCCCTATACGAATCACGACACTCCATTGCGCCTACCTTACAATGTCATTAATTCATTAGCCGGTCTAATGTTTATCGTTTTTATTAGGTACTAGCTATCACGCGCATGCATATCGATCGTACCCTATTTGAGCACAAACTGCGCAATACCCTGGTTTGGATTGAGAAGCGAAAGTAGAACCTCGTGGGCTTGATGCTGTACGATAGTCTCCATAACTGCCCTCTAAAAGAAGAGACGATCAGCCATGAGACATCCAGTGTATTGGCAATTTGGTCCTCGAGGCAACACGGTGCATATAAGCCACCACCTTCTGCGATAGTGGAAGATGACCCATCTTTGCTACCTTCCCTTCGAGACACAGAACTCTAACTTTTAGCGTGAAAAATGGGCACGTCGATGTCCTCCCCCTTAGGACTGCAAAGTCTTCGGACTATCGCTGGCATCGTTCGTACAATCATCGAGGAAATTCGGTCATCGAGGATCTTCGAAAAACCCCACTTTTGCCGACCTAAGACTGCCAGAGACTCGCATCCTCAACGACAAGCTAGTAGGACATCAATGGCAGGGTGGCAGGGTGATGAATGGCAGGAAGAAGATCTATTACTATGGACACCGAAGAAGAGATCAGAGAGGAAGGAATAGATGAGCTCCTAGCCGCTCGAGCTCCACACGCCACCGGGGGAAACGTTGTAGGATCTTACCCTGTACAAACAGATGTGTGGCGGAGGCCGAGCGAAGTGGGAATACATGCTGTAGAAGAAGCTCCGGCGTAGGCGTCTTTATGAAGCGCCAGAGCGTTGCGCTGCTGCACTCCACATGAAGACGAAGGAAGAAGGGGTCTCGGCCACGAGGTTGAACAATGAAGGCAAGGAAGTATCCGTTGTCCACTTGCATTTGGGCTCAACTCGAGGTGCAGCAGATGTTTCCAATAACTGAAGATGCCATAAATTGGGAAAGACGACCCGCAGACCTTGGGAAAACACAGCGCGTTCCAGCTCGTGAGCATCCCCAGTGATGAGGAGATACAATAGCGAAGCAAAGAGTCCAATACCAAGAGGGCTATTCCATTTCCGCAATGACGGGGGTTTCTGGTGCGGGGAAAGTCGTCGCTGATCAATGCCTTCCGAGGCCTTCGAAACAGAGATCAGGGGGCTGCACCAACGGGCGTGGTTGAGACCACCACTGATATCACTAGATTCCCAGATCCAAGCCCCCATAACCCGTTCGTTTGGTATATGTCCCAGGGTCCGGCACGCTGAACACACCGGACTGGCAATATTTCACTGCACACGGACTCTAATGTTTTCGACTGCATTATCATCCTTTTCGACAGCCGCTTTACAATGACTGACCCTTGCCATGCCTGGTCAATTGCCGGCCGTTTTCAACATTCCTACTTATATCGTGCGGTCGAAATCGGACTCACATATCAGAAAACATCATCAGGAAATCGGGTTACGACAGCGATGAAGATGAAGATGAAAATCACTCGCATCGCAATGCATTGTATGGCTCCGCACGCGAGCAGTACATTGCTGAAACTCGCGCAACCGTGAAGAGCAATCTTCAGGAGGCGAATTTGGCCCGATCAAAGGGTGTACATTGTCGCCAACAGCACCATGGTCTCCACAGTGAGAGACCAGAAAACTATCGGAGAAAGACTATAGACGAACTAGAATTAATGCGAGATCTCTTTAGGGAAGCCCAGTCAAGGCGTTGTGGTAAAGGTAGTCGCTCACAGGCATACGAAGTTTGAAGTCTAGAGCCCCGTCCATAGTCAGGTTGCAGCAGTTGTCGGTAATGTACCACATCTATGAGAAATCATAAAAAAGAGGGTGACGTGGTCCAGCTGGTGTCATGTTCATCGGTGATCGATGCATTAGTACAGTACACTTTTTCATAATGTATAGCGACGGGAGCTGCCTTTTCGCTATACAATATGAGAGATATACACTACCAAATAATTCCCACGGCAGAGGGGTCAACCAAGATTGGGGGTGTCGATGTGCGCTACTTGGCAACCACATGTCCAGAAAATCAATACATTCAGTGAGTACAACCGAAACGGTATGTTGCTTGTTATTCCAGAATTAATCTAATGTAGCCTGCTTTGGATTCTGCAATTCCTCACACCGTAGTGTTGCTCAGAAATGTACGGAGTTTGTGAACTAGATCAAGTGAAAATTCAGCGCCAGCTTGCGCAATACATGCAACCTCGAGCTACTTAATATTACGATCGTGCTGCATGGGTGAGTCTGAATGTTCATCGATGTATGCAAGACCCATCAGCCAGTCAATCAAGGTAAGATTCTTGCACCCACTAGTATCAGAAAGCTTCGTGGATATTGCCACAGGACCATCTTTCTGGTGAAGTGTATTTGGTTTCTGCTTGTATGGGTGGGTTTTAGACGTGGCTGGCGTTTCTTAGGGCTGCGCACCATTGGAACTAGAATGTCTATAAAATTGTTCATCTTACAACTTTGTTATGAATCAGCTTCCGGCAACTCAGTAGTAGTCCTACTCGGTACAAACCATATCTCATAGTGTTATATCGGACCTCCAAAGGCTATACATTATACATTATACAATTTTTTGGGCGTCTACCCGCATACCACGATGGGAGCTGCCAAAACTCGATACAAGATGAGATTTATACATTACTAACGTATGCATTATGAAAAAGTGTACTGTACCTTGCAAAAAGTGGTTGACGGAACCAGTTCGATGTAATGAGTTGCAAAACGGCTGCAAGGTTCTGTGGCTCTGTCAACAACGCACGCGAATTGCTTCCGCGGGATTAAACGCACCCTTGGTAGGGGCTCGGGAATTAGGGATCCCGCTCTGGTTGACCGGCTAATTAGCACGACCCTCTGCGAAGACCTAATTGACCGGTGTAAATGACAGCAAATTCACTCAAATTGACCCTATGATAGCTCTTTGACGCTGATTTGCGCTAATTTGCAGGTAAATTTGGTCTAATTGACCGTAATCTACAACAAAGCCGCCAATCACCATTCCTCCCACTCGTCGTCATCCATCGGTGTCGAGGATGAAGTTGTGGCAGCCATCACCTTTGGTGTCGACAGACCTCCGCAAGCAGCCGTGGGCTGTAGAGCGTGGTCCGACAAAATATCGAGGAGGTACGTGGATGATATGTTAATATCTTTACCCACGTCGAACTCAGTGCTTTTCACGCCAGCTAAATCCACATGGTCCGCAATATCACCATTATCAAGCCAATCCCCATCTTCATCATCCGAGTCTGAACATCTGCCTTGATGTTCGTCGGTCAAGCTCGAAATGATGTCCGTGGTCATGGTAGGTGGTCGAGCAGGCGGCGGGACGACAGGCGGTGTCTCAGGTTTACCATGGATGGTTGCATACATATCTCGCCATTTGACAGAAGGAGCGACCGTCGGTGCTACGGGCTGATTAACAGTATGAGTATGTTGAGAGTCCAGCCAACTGAACTTCACTCACATCAGCTTTCCAGTGTGCCACTGACGAATCTGTATATGTTCTTTTAATGTTGAGATGTCTTGTCTGCTCCGAGTGGGACTGTTAAGCCACGTAATTGTTGAAAACTGTCCTCTCGTCGGCCATCGACACTGGGACGATGGAGTATAACTTGATTGCAAGGGCCTGAATATAAGAGTGAGTCAAATAAAAATGTATCGAGCAAATATCATTGTCACCCCCAAGAACTCGTGCGTTTTCGTCCTTTTGAACAGCTAACCACCAATCTCGAACATTCTCATGCTTGCAAATCTTGCGGTTGAAAGGATCTGCTCCTTTGCGATACTCCTTGAGCTCGACCTTCAATGCCTGCAGAGCCTCTCGTAGAGTCAATCCAGCCAAGCGGGGGATTTCTCTCCTTCATAAGTTTCGCAGCGGCTTGGTCTGACCTTACCCCGTCGTAAACATCACCGTACTCATGCTTGAGCATGAGCTGAAGGCTCGTGCCAACTCTCTTGATGATTGAATCTTCGGGGGATACAACACTGTATGTCCCATTTGATTTCGTCAAATGGATGGGACTCGAACTTCACAATATTTCGGATTCTCGGTGATCTTCCGAGTCGGCAACCAAATCAACTTATATATCTTGACTATGATGAGCTAGGGTGTTCAGAAATCAAGCTTTTTACACTGGTCTAGCCGAACCGGCCAAACTGAACCATTGGACCCAAATTCACCCAAATTCACACCTTGGCAGCACTTTTGCGTTGTTCCCACGGTCTGTTAGACCCGGTTTCATTGTAGGACGAAACCTATCTCTGAGACCTGCCTCTCCCTGGGGCCTCCCCTCAACTCCTCAAGAGGTACAACTTGAACAGCACCCTCGCAAGTCACCCCATGGACTCGTCCGTTATCGTTGGAGGGTAGCCCCCTCCTATCCTAGTGGCCTCTCAGAGACCCCCCAGCATGTTATGAAGGCGCAACCAAGTCTTCTGGATCAAAATGCCCGAGGATGAGTGATGTATCACGGACGATGTAAGTTTCGAGATGGAGTCTGTGAAGCATAAGTCCGGACTCGGAGTGACAAGGTCGGAGTATCGAGACAAGAACGTTTTTTGGAGCAAGGAGAACATACCGTTGTAACTTTTTCGAGGTCCGTTTTGGCAGTAACTCCCCGGGATCACTTGTACATCTCATCTTGTTTTAATATGTTTTCACTTTCATTTCTGTATCACTGGCAATTCATGGATAGCTGGGTTATTCTTGCCCCAATTTTCTCAAGAGATCATTCATGTTCCTCCTGTATCTGACGCTGAAGTTTCTCCTCATGGACTTCAGAACCTTTTTCTGCAGTGGTTTACTCGATCCATGGAGAATATATCACATTGGACAAGGTTCCCGTCGAGCTTCTCGTCAAATCCCTTCCCTGAGGAAATCTGTGTTGCAACTAGGGTACCGCACGGGTAACACCGAGGGTCGGAAAGTTGACACCGCACCCGCACCCGCCAACACCGTACCCTTCACGGGTACGGGTACACACCGACCCGTCAATGTCGCGGTTTATGGAAAACACCGCGGTGTCTCTGAACACCGCGGGTACATTACCAAGAAGAGTGTATTAAGTATTAACAACAATGAAATAAAATAGTACTACTTTTCCTTGTCATTCTCCTCTGCTTCGACTTCATTTCGCTTCCGTTTTTGAGTCCTGACAGCGGCTAAAAGGTCCTCCATCACCAGAAGATCACTTCTGCCCCACGCTCCGAGGCAGAGAAAGGCACGAATTGTTGATGGTTGCGAGATCTGCAGAAGGATCGGGATCAGGCTCGAATGCACCTGCCGTTGATTTGTTATCGTCAGTGGCAAGTGAATCAGTACTTGATCGCGTAAGATCAACGGTGTCTGTGGGGCTCGATCGAGAAGACCGAGACACAAATGACTGCTTGACCTTCTTCAAGGGGCGGGCCAGAGCCTTAGCACCCTTGCAACAGCCTTTTTGAGTGACCTGGCCTTCTCGGAGATGGACGACGAGATAGACTTAGATGATGAGTGTGACTGGGTAGACGAAGCATCAGATGCCTTCTTTGTGAGCTTAGTTTTCATGGGGAGACGACTCAGTGGACTTACTGGTCTCGAGTTTTTGCCTTGGCTTTATGGTAGTGACTCGAGCTTCTCTGCAACGAAGTGTCAGCTCAATAAATTGCTAGAATGATTCACGGGGGTACAAAGACATGACAGAAATCAGTATAGCATTCACTTGTGATCCTCAAGCTCTCAGAGGAAGGAAAAACAGAGAATCAAACACGGTGTTCAATGGCTGTCGCGCGCCTGGTTCCCGATTTGGTATATTATACCCGCCCAAACACCGTCAACCCGCGGTGAATGGCCACGGTATGCTCAAGGGTACGACTATCCTACTCCGTACCCGTACCCCTCCAAACCCGTCAGCATAGAACCGCGGTGTTACCCGTACCCGTGCGTTTCCCTAACGCTGATTGATAGATAGTGGACACTGACATGGGGCACTCCGGGGCCATAGTTAACACAGATTAATGGTTGTCTAGGAGTTTAATAATTCCAATCTGCATCTCCATATGTCATCGGTCACCATCATGGCAGTCTGCGCCGTGCGGAGATGACACAAATGATAGGTCGATGGAGACTGTGGAAAGTTGAAACTGGGTCAGTAGAGACTATTCCCGACTCCCACGGTGGTAGCCTATGCCTTCGTAAAATTACATATGATATCATGCATGTTTGAAAGTCCGACACTCATTGCCAAATGTTGCCGCTTGACCTGTTGAAATCCATCCCAAATCCACCAAAGCTGGAGCGCCTGACCACCTTGTGTGTTTATCGTTCACTTTATCCCACTTTCTCCCGCGTATGTCTCGGACATGCTGTGGCCAGACGTGGCCGTAGTATTGCCAGGGGCACAAACTTAACGGCACTTATCTCCTCATGGTGACAAGGCTGCGCGAGACGCGTACTTGCAACATTCAGCCAGACGTATCATGTTCAAGCTTGAATAGGCTCCCGCTCAATATTTGCACCATATGGGATCTTCTTCATTGTTGCAGATTGACTGGCCCGCCCACGGAGGTCCAAGTAGTGTTTGACAATTTTAGCGTGCAAGTATCGGCTTCTATGAATAATCCTTGCTGACGAAAAATAACGCCACCGGGCTCCCGCAGTCGACAGTCATGTCAAAGCCGTTGGACTTCGTAGCCATGCCGCTGTCACAGAAACGGCTATAAATCTCCTAATAGATCCTCGAATCCAACACAACTATGAAGGTTATCTCTGTATCCTCTCCATTCAGTCTCTGGACAATTGTACGCTCGGTTGGTGCATTCAATGTCGCATGTTCATTTGTTGCATTATGGGCTCTCGTCAAAGTCTCAAAGGCCCTTCGCTGGCGACTGAAGACAACTCAACTGCGGGGTCCGCCTCGCACCAGCTTTATATACGGCGTTTCGCACGACGTCGCCTCATCTAAAGATAGTGGTGGAATGTATGAACGTTGGGCGATGGAATATGGGGTCGCGTATATGATTCCGAGCGTCCTCGGACAGACTAGAATCGTGCTGTGCGATCCAAGAGCTATAGCACATTTCTACGCCCGAGAGACATGGACATATGTGCAGACGCCCCTTTCGTTGGCGCTTTTGGAGTCATCAGTATGTGAATATCATCATCTTACCTTGTCTTTCTGACATCTCTTGTCAGGTCGGCAGAGGGCTGTTATGGTCTCAGGGTGAAGCCCACAGGAGGTACTGTTGAGTTCTTGTCCTCGCGCTAGCGACTTATCTACTACCTTCAAATTAGGCAGCGGAAGGCCCTCACACCAGCATTCAGCAATGCAGCGATTCGGAAACTCACATCAGTGTTTTATGACTCAGCATACAAGGTAAGGATTTGCAACGTGGGCAATGTAGCATCTCTGATCTTGATACTTTGCAGGCCAAAGGTGCATGGGATACTGCTATAGAATCGAGCAAAGATGGCGACGCTGTCATCGAGGTTCAGAACTGGTGCGTAAATTTTCTGGCTTGTCAAGTGTTATTCCTAATCACAATGACTCAAAGGATGAATCATATATCGTACGCGAAGGTATTTTGCCATTGACGCCTCTAACTGACGCATCATCAGTCTGGATTCGATAGGCATCGCTGGTTTCTCCCATGATTTTGGCTCGCTCGATGGAAAGCGAGCCAGCGTAACCGAAGTGTTTGATACTTTCGGAAACAACCAAAAGGCTTCAGCAGTGAACCATGTTCTCTCCTGCTCGCATCAGCGTTTCCTATCATTACAAAGATCCCCAACAAGCGGAGGAATCTGGTCAAGAAACTCGGCGTAGTCATGGAAGAATATCCAACGACTTATAATCCGTAGCCCGCCGGGAGAAGGATGTGAATATGAGTGGGAAAGACGAGGAGAAGTCTATCATTGGATCGTTGAGTAAGCTCTCCAAGAGATTCATCGTATTCTCCCGATTAACGCTGCGATAAGTTAAATCCGAAGGCCAAGATGCCGAGCTTCATATGTCCGAAGGAGGAAGTAGTGGCTCAGGTCCGTGGAAATTATGTATGACAGCATTGAATTGCAAGCTGATATCCTGCAGATGAAGGTCTTGCTTGTGGCAGGTTATGAGACGACGTTCTAGTGGGTTCATTTTTTGTCCCCTGCCATCATATTAGCTGACTTTTCATCGACAGTCAGTCTTACGGTAAGCCTACTGTGCGATAATGTCTGTGCACGCTATTAATGTTATGATCAGATGGGCGCTGATCGAGCTATCGCGACACTCCGATGTCCCAAACCAGACTCAGAGAGGAGCTGTTTGCATTTGGTGCCGATCCGACATATGACCATTAAAGGCCAATCTCCCATACTTGGATGCCGTTGTCCATGAAATTCTACGACTCCACCCTCGGTGGGTGAGTTCACTCGGCTTGTGAGTGTGCCTGTCTACATGTGATTCAATAGACACTCACAATAGGTCTACAGGCAGCGGCAAGATGACGTCATTCCCTTGAGCGAACCTGTGCGCATGGAGTCTGGGGAAATGACGGACAGTATATGTATAGCGAAAGGGACATTGATCACGATATCAGGCGCAGCGATCAATCGCTCTTCGGCCATCTGGGGACCAGATGCAAAGGAATTCAAGCCTGATCGTTGGCTGACTGAAGACGGGATCAGTGGGAAGGCCAAGGAAGTCCAGGGTCATAGGCATCTGCTGACATTCGTCGACGGCCCGAGGACGTGGTCTTGGCAAAGATTTTGCGATCTCGGAATTCAAGGTGAGTGATTCGAATCAGCTAGTCTGGACGTTATCACTGCGATACAGACGGTTTTATCGGTTCTGGTGAAGAGCTTCGTGTTTGAGATGCGGGATGGACCTGACATCCCAGTCGAAGTTGTGAGGGGGATTTTACCCCCGTCCGCGGGTTGTTGGAGAGGATGGTATTGGGGTACCTTTGAGAGTTCGTCGGTATGAATGATGTGGTTGCGCTGCACTAGCAATTTTACAATACTTATTTTTTCCTACTTACATGCGGCTGACACCTTTGGATTGTATTCAGGAAGAGGAATGTGTGATTTATAGTTTCTGTGTATGCTATCCTTGCTATTATTTCTCCTGCCAAGCGGAGCATTCCCAGAACACTGATACCCATCGTGTTTGAAGTATTAAGTAGTGTGCGAAGTTGATCAATTACTTACATTAACATTCTGGTTGATTTGCTCTTCTTATTCCCCTGCATGGAGCTTCGCTCCTGTGGTACTCGTTACGGG